TTTTTTTGTCTCTATTTGGAAGGTTCTGTGGATCTGTAACGTTTCGACTACCCTTGAAGTTCAATGATGGAGTATTATTAGAACGAAGTTCTTTATGTCGCGTACTCGGATGGCTGGAATTTTAAAACCAACAGATTTTATGAAACAGAAGTGGCTTACTGGAAGTCTCCTCCTCTCAAGTTTCCCCCCTTAACCCGTTTCCCTCACCAACAGTTCCCTACATACTTACTCTCACCTTACCATATATCTTTCTTTTTTTATATTATAGTGCTCTACGTCCGGCTCCTTTAATAAGGGTACCACTATGGGCACTTAGCACTTGGGAAAGGGACAAGGAAAGGGATGGGAGGCCTCCCATTACTGGGAGAGGGGTAGGGGGAAATTAGGCAATTATGCTGCGAGGAGGTCGCCTAAACCCTCCTCGAGGAGCATTGAGTGGTGAGAAAGCACATGTGAAAATTCACAGAGGTACTTGCCCGTAAAGTCGCACTGGCCAGGAATTGAACCGCGGTCTCCCACGTGCCAATCCACGACCTAGTCGACCGAGCCACCGCGCGCTCAATTAAATTGAATGTAAAAAATATCAGTTATTATAATGGACATAGATTAAAAGCTTCATCCATTACTTTTACAGTATAGGACTTGAAAATTACTTTTATTAAATACTGAGATCATTAAAATTCAATATGTTGCGTCTTATTTTCTTCCTTAAAATTGGTATACCATACAAATAGTTATTACTGTCACAGAAACAATGTTTAGATTACAGTGCAACGCTTATTACAAAATTACTCGTAGTATTCCCGCTGTATCATACTAGCTATTATTTAATCGCTGGGGTCAAATCGTGAACCCCCACTTCGTCGTATACCTTGTCGAGCCTGTAGCAAACAATTCAGAGTTTTCACTGACATTTTATTTCTCAGATTAGTTTTGATGTAATTTTTTTCGCTAAATCGCCTTTCTATATCAACATTAGCATGAGGCGTGCTTAAGATTGTCAATGGGAAGATTGCTAATTTTCGATATGAAGGGTGCCCCTGTTCGTCAATCCATTTAGACATGTAATCCCAAAAGTTTACATCATTTTGGAGTGTATACATAGCGTTTCTACAGAGTTTGTATCATCTGGCAAATTATTTCACTGATTAGCTACCAAGTCAAGGTCTTCTTCTCTGCGAAAAATATTAGTAAAAACATCTATAAGCCTGAGAATTGCCCGTGGATTTTCCTCTCTGTAACAGCGAGAAGAAGCGTTCACTACTTTCAACATTTTTACCGCGTTTAGTACTGGACTAGTACAATTATGAAACCGTTCTTGCATTTCAAATGCCAAACTTATTAAATAACAGTACGATCTGACGCACATGTCTCCCCAGTCAGTTCCATTATTTACAAGGAGATTTTTCCACTCAGTTCCCAAATTAAAATTTAGCGCACATTAAATACTTTGTTGTGTCAAAAATATCTATATGTATGGCTTCAGTTTCTTGTACATACTCTTCTTTCATAAAACATGACACTATCTCTTTAAATGTTATTTCAATTTGAAGAGTGGCATCAGTGATTACGACACCATCCGACTGAAAAAATCTATTCAGATTATTGACGATTTTAAGATTTTTTTTAAGCATTAAAAAATAGCTCTTTGTTTTAAGACTCATCATAACATCATAAATTTTCATAGCAAGCACGTCTCTGGCTTCTGCTAAGGATCGTGCAAACACTAATATTCCGGGCCATTGTTCTATCAATCTTTCAACACACGCTTCTAAGGATAACCAGCGTGTTGGACACATTTTCAAAATTTTATGATGTAAAAGCCCTAGCTCTTCCTGGTCTTCTTCAAAGTCGTGCTTTCTATTTGGGCTACTTAGCATTGCATATATATATTTTTCGGCAAATCTGTAATTGCAACTGGCAATTCTTCAATCGCGTTTTTAATACATAAGTGGGTTTGATGTGCGGGGCATTTGACATAAACAAGGCCGGGTATCACTGAGCCACCGCGCGCTCTGTATATACATCTAAATAGTTATTACCCATAATTAGACTTTTAAACGTGCCATTTGGGTCCGCAAACCCGAGTACCTCCAGTCCCAGGTCGACACTGCAATTTACCTTAAAGAATAGGGATCTATATTCTATAGTGTATTTATAGTACTTGTCTGTTTTAAAAATCGCTCCTTCTCTGAACCATGCTTCCTCATAACAGGTTACCTGCAGCAAAGATTTGGTGTAATTCATGCCATGTATCGGGTGCTCTGCAAGCTCCTGAGTTCCATCAACACATTCTAGGACCATACTATTGAGAGAAAGGTTTTTTAGAACGTATTTATAAGCTAAACATTCGAATCTATGTTTAAGATGCATAACTCCAGATTCCGCAATCATTACGTTCACTGGAGTAGATCCGCGGTACCCCAGTGCTAATCTAATCGCGGCGTTTTGAACTTTTTGTAGTTTTTCTAAATGTGTGTTAGTACAGGGAGATATTAAAAAGCCCCCGTATTCAAGCCTGGACCTGATGAGCGATTTGAAGAGCGCCATGAGCGCGTTGGGGTCAGCCCCCCACCATACTCCTCTCAAGCATCTAATGATCTTCAAAGGGAAGAAGCATTTGTTTACCGTATCTTTTATATGTGGAAGCTATGTGAGGCCTGGTCAAGCATCATGCCCAGGAACCTAACAGTTTTGCTGGGCTCTAGAAAGGTGCCATTAATATTATTAGTAAAGTCTCTCTTTTTGATGCAATTTTTTTTGAAGATAACGAATTGAGATTTTTTAGGGGCTAATATTAAGTTCTTTGCTTTTAACTGTTGATACAGCTCATTAATTATTTTCTCCAATGTCTCAATCAAGAGTTTAACATCGGCTCCAGTCGTGTAAACTATGATATCATCAGCAAACAACAAAATTTTAATGTTGTTTTTTACTAGGTTCGCGATGAATAGCGTCAGAAGATTGATTGGAATTATATTCCGTTTGTATGTTAGGTTCTTGTAAAACAATGTATATTCCTCTGGAAGCCCTAAATCTCGTATGTCTTTGAGCAGTAAATCTGGTATGACTGAGTCAAAGGCACCTTGAATGTCCAAAAAAATCGCAACCAAGCTTTCTTTTCAATAGAATGCCTGGTGGGTGGATCTCATTGGTAAGTATACTTAAATTGTCCATACACGACCTGTTCTTACGAAAGCCGAATTGGCAAGCTGGTAGTAAGCCGTTATTCTGTATGTACCTAGAAGATCTGAAATTTACCATTTTTTCTAGTACTTTAAGTAGGCATGAAGCCAAGTTTATAGGTCGTGCCTTACTACTATTATCCTTTGTTATAAAAACAATTAGGTAATCTAGCCAATTTTTGGGAAACAATCCTTGGCTGAAAAGGTCGTTGTATATGTCAAGCAGGATTAAAAAATACATTTTCTGACCTCGAGCGTTTTTGAGGGTCGGGTGTACCCTCAGTAGGAAAAATAGGATTCCCCACATAAGCGCCATCGCTCCGCGGCTACCTTACGTTCCTCGGGCCCTGCTTCGCAGATCCCTCAGGCCGCATAATAACCCCGGAGACGACGGCACTTATCCGACGAAAACTACTATTTATGTGGCACGTAGAAAAAAACGGAAGAAGTCAGAAATGTCTTTAAAAATTTTGATTAAGTACTGCAAGATAAATAGATAGAGAACTAATAAACTTGAAAGAAATTTTTTTTTATAACTCAGAAACAGTAATGAAGGAGAAAAAAAATACCCAATGAGTGGTTTTCATAATTATTAATAAAACAGTATCGAGAGATATTTTAAAGCTGTAGAAATATAGGATAACAATGAAAGAAATAAAAAAAAAAAAAAAATGTACTTAGATCACACGAAAATGTAAAGATGGAGATGATTCTGAATAAACCTAAGAATGTTTTGAATGGTTTCACGAATAAGGGGGTAGGTATTGATTGTGAAAAATTTTGTTGAGAGAATTTTTTGTTATTTGATATTCACGAAGAGTCAAGTTTCAGTATTAGGAATGTTGGATGGAATCGGTTTAGGATCTGGTACTTGACTTAGAAAACGAGTAGAGTGGTAGTTTAAAGGAGATTAAAATGATATTCATGACTCAATCGAATAATCCTACAGTAGAAATAAACTTAGCGAGGGAACAAGGAGAAAGCGGTAGGAAAGAATAGAAGACTAAGAGTAGTAAACGAGTACAAGTACTTAGGATTTTGGTTCACAACAATCAATACATTTAACCAGCACACATTAAAGACGGCAAACAAGGTCAAGAAAGCATTTACGATGTGAATATTGTGGAAAAGAACTAACGTTGTGAGCCTGAGAACGAAATTGTACTGAATTGATACGACAGTTAAAATTGGATTTATAAACTGGAACGGGATACATCTTTACAAGAGTCAAGTGGCACATAAACAAAATCTAAGTGAGTAATTTAGCTATTTGCTACGTAAGGACTGAGTAATTTGGAAGAAAGATTATAAAGATAGTTGGTGTTCAGAAAGAAAAATTCGCTTGGATAAGATGTGATAATGTGGAAAAGATGAGAAACAAAGGATACAAAGACGAAATATTTAGGACTTACATATAAAAAACGTAAAAAAATAGAACGTACATTCGCAAGCATGGTGATAAAGAAAAGAATCAGCTAAACTTGGGTTAAGAAAGGAGAAAATTAGGATAGTATGTATAATTAAGCTATTATATAATAGTAGAAAGAGAACCGAGGTGTCGTTGAGAATAAGTGATGGACAACAGAAAAAGTAGGAGTACAAGAATTTTCGAATAAATAAAAATGGTTTACATTACAATAAATTTAAGGAAAACATGTCATAAGAAAGATCAGAAAAAATAAATAGAGGAAAGTGAATTAGAGGATAAGAGTTGCGCATGCGCCGATTACATAAAAATTAAAAAATACGAAAACATTGAAAGATAAGGGAAAAGTACGAAAAATTATTAGTCCAAAAAATGAAGCAATTAGTAAATTAATGAATAAAGAAGTCTCATTTATTTTGGCAGTATTTTACAACTTTTTAAAATCATTTCAATGTTAGTAATTGAAGATGTAGTTAAGATACATAACAATTTTAAGAAATAGGTCATAATTAATTATTCACTGTTGTGAAAGATTTTTTTTCAATCAGCATATTTGTTAGAATAGGACCCAGCTTTCAATTTAACATGGGGATCAGTATGTCTACTTTTATCACTACACTGTAAATCTAAGCGTGTTATAGTACACGTTTAAAATGTGTAATTTAAAATTTTTTATTTTTTATAAACCACATTGTGGTGGCGTAAATAATAATTTTAAAGACAACCAAATCTATGGTGCACCAAATGGTTAACTAGTTTGATTAAATTGGACAATATTTAATGGGCAAAATCAATGTAGGAAATCTGTGGAGTGAAAAAACTTGACTATCACAGATACAACACGCTTAAAAATGTGTAAAACTAGTGACAGAAATATTGTACTCCTTACATCTGTCTTATATCAATCGTTAACGAAAAAATATTTTAGTTTGATAGAATAGGTGTAATAGTTTACGAAGCATTAATTTGATTGTTCTTGATAAGTTTATCAAGACTAATATAAAGCATTTTATGAAAATGGAAATATCGATTACACGATTTAAACGTAGACTTTAACGCACTTGGATTTTAAAGTGTAATTCTACAGAAACAGAATTTAGAAAAATTTGATTGAGTCCACATCACTCTATTAAATAGTTACAAATTTACACTTAACTTCTGGAAACTTTTATTGTTTTTTTTGTATGACGTGGACGTAATACCCCGGATCTTGTATTTGGTCTAGTGGTCTAAAGTCACCATAAATTTCATGTTTCGTTTGATGAGGGATAACATTATCCAATAGTTTTTTGAAATCTTGAAGCATATGTGGGTGGTAAGACAAACGAAACTCGCTAATTTCATCTTCTGACGTTTCTGGCCCAACATCATAATCATTTAACGATACTAGATAATCGAGCGTAATCAAGGAAGGCTGGCCATTTTTGTAGATCACTGATGTTTCGATTTTCTTCAAATGTTTATTCTAAAACGTATTAAAAATTTTTTTAGTAAAAATATTTCAACAGAAGCTAAAAATATTCTTAACAAGAATCCAATATACTAAAACTAAAAAAAATTTATTATACTTACGTTATAATACATGCTTTGAGTAGGGGCTGAACCCTTATTTATAATATAATCGTAATTTCTGTGATCTATCATCAGGAGACCACCAGGCTTAACGCAGCGTTCAAAATTAGAAAGGGCTCGTCTATAATTTGAATATGAATCAGTTTTAAGAATCAATTACATTTAAAAAAAAAATTGAAACTGCTAAAATCATTTGTAATAAAATAATATTGGAAGCTGTATTTACTTTTGCTCACGTTGATCACCGAACACATCTAAAATGTGAGCAAAACTGTTGCCAAGGCATAACACGGCATCAAAGCCATCACCAACCAATGGTTTAATGTCTTCTTCAAGGGTGAGCCAATTTGCTTCTTCTATGACTGAAAATATATTATATTGTATTAATTTTCACGTGCACCCATTTTAATATTCTAATCCTACTTCTTCCACCTTCTCCTTTTTTTCTGATTTCTCCCTTTCCCCAAGTGTATGTAAGTATTTCGTGATGGGCCTTAGTTCAAAGTTGCCCGCAGGTGACTAGGTTACCCCACTGGGTATTATTGTTGAATTTAATTAGATCTCTTTCACATCTCGTTCATTAACTACCCGATCGTAAATTCTTACTATAGGCTGTCTATTTGGCAAGCTAAGATATAACCAGTTAAAATAAGCTGGAAAACGTGGAAAAGTTGTCAACAAGCACTGATTAAAAAAATTTATATTTTTGTATATCCTGTAGACTCTCAGAAACACTCACTATTTAGAATATGTGGTAACTCTTATTTTATCAAGAAACTGGATTAAAAAAGTTTTTAAAATAACACCACTTTTCGTGGATATTTCAGATTAGCTTACATTAGATGTACAAGTTTCCTACCATAGTGATCTTTAACTTTTTTTTCTCTAACAATAATTAATTAATTTGACACACTTTTACGCAAACAAAAGGGGTTTACTCATTATAAATTAATTTTAGTATAATTTTTTGTAGTTAGTATAAGAAAGTTAAAAAATAAACTACATGACGTTTGTTTGACATCTGATTTTTGTCTTTCTTCTTTCATTTTCAATGTACCTTGCTCAGTTAAGGCTTTAATTATTCTTAAAAAAGTCAAGAACGTACGTCAACTCCTCTTTTTCTCATAGAAGAACTAGTTATTTAATAAATAATGATATAAAGCTATGGAATCAAATCAACCTCATCCATAAGGTAGGAAACATTAATATGCTTCGGACTGCTTTTAACAAAGAATACTTCAATCTCAATCTAAAAAGATTAATCTTTTGTAGCATAACGTATAATGAATAATTACATTTAGTCATCAGATAAACTTTTCACGTTATTTAATATTAATTAGAGATAGATATTAAGGGAGTTCACTCGTACCTAACCTTTTTGATGCATAAGATATTGTACCCTGCATGACTATGTATACATATATAACGCGACATACTAACGGTGGCTGTTGAAGGAAAATTATTTTATTCACTAATTTATTGCTCATTCCATAAGCCATGAGTAAAGATGAGACTATAGCTATGTAATCACTAAGTTTTTAGCTATTTTCTAAAAAATTTCCAATCAAATATTGACGTACGTCCATTATCCAGATATTGCAGGTAGTAGTGATCAGAATAGTACTGATTCTCATAAGACTGCACGTTAAAAGTTCAATAATAAAATTATCAATATCTCATTTATAAGCCATAAAGGGACTTGAAATTTGAATCGAAGGTTTTTCATACACTAATTCATCTCTGTTCAAAGTATTATCAATATGTTGATGTTAATTCTCTTAGTGAGTAAACGCCCTTAAACATCAAAATTTTATTAACTTCGTTAAAAGAAACGTTTTTCGCCAGGTAAATTGGTAAAAAACGTCTTAGGATATAGCAACCTGTACCCTATAAACAAAATAACAATTAACTAATTTATATACAAAAACGGAAACGAAAAATAAAAGTTTTTACTTAATATAGTGTTTACGTACCTACACTTTACATTGGTGCTTTTAACACTCATAATAACAATCAAAGGCAGCCAATCCTTCACCTAGATATATGTCCTCAAAAATTTTTTGCTTGAATATTTTTAACTAAAAATATAGCTGAAAAGTATAGCTAAAAATGTAGTTGAATACAGCTAAAAATACAAATTTCTAACGCTGAATTTCTAGCTGGGTACCTTTGAGATTAGACACTTAAAAATTTGTGGGGAAGTTCTATATCGAATAAGTTAAAAGATTTCTCTCAACATTGATTAACTTTTGTATCCGACAACTGACTGTTTAAGACTCCATATGGTTGCACTTTTGTTAGGCTTAACAATATGTTTCAATGTTACATCAATTCTATGTAGGTACAGTAACCGTATTTGTGAATCTCAAAACAAAAGGTTCATCAATCGGGTGCGTTCGATTTGTATCGTTCGGTCGCTGTTTTACACCATTATTTCGTCTATAGATGTACTGTAAGCTGTAAATGGTGGCTCAGCCAGCTATGATCATGGGTTGGCGTCGGCACGCGGGAGACCGTGGTTCGATTCCTAGCCAGTGCGAATTTTTCTGGTAAGTATCTCTGTGATTTTTACATATGCTTTTTCACCACACAATGCTCCTTATGAAGGAGATGGGCAACCTTCTCGAGCAAAATTGCTTAAATATCCCCCTACCCTCCTCCCAGTAATGGGAGGCTTCCCGTTCCGTCCCTTGTTCTATTCAAAAGTGTCAAGTGCCTTAAGGGGGTAGTGTCACAATATATAGTCAATGCGTGCTCCGAAATACATTATGCGTTCCGAAACAGACAAGTGACAATAAATATGGCAACGCCGCATAAGGCGAAAACCCTCTGTATATCTATATATACGTATAAGTATAGATACATTCGGAGGTTATATTGTACGTAAACATTGAGTTGGTGGTGAAATATCCGTGAAAAATGTCTGAACATTTTCGTTTACCAAATGGGAGACTTGTCAAAAAAAGTGTCAAAGAGAAAATAATGAAGGCTATCGCGATCACAAAATGCCAATAATGCAGATTCCCTTCGACACTATAACAAAACGTTGCAACATCTTCACGGATCTTTAAGTACACACTTTTAATTCGTTATAACTAAAGAACGGTGAAGCTTCTAATGCTGTTTGTACAATACGATGTTTAAAACATAATATTTTACATTACATTTCAATTCCAGCAAAGTCTTAAATTTTTTTTAGTCGTAATCAGTAAAACACTCTTTCTCTCATAAGAGTACGTGATAAATGGATAATTTATTTCTCGAAAACGGTGAAGCTAGGATGTCTGAAAATTTAATATGTTATTCTACGCATAATTGTTAGTTTATACAAATTTTTTCAAGGCGTTCCTAAATTTTTGAATTTTGTGACACTACCCCCTTAAAGTTTGACGTATGACACTATTAGAGTGATAAATGTTGATTTTCCATGCAGGAAATTCTGATTAAAAAAAAAATAGTACTCGTTAGGAATTCGTATTCAAAAAATATTGCAGTATACTTTTTAACAGCTGAAAATGTCAGTAAAGACCCCAAAAAATGGTAAAAATGGCAAAAACAGGTTTTTTGCGTCTAAATAAAAAACTAGACTGTACAAAAAAAAGTTACAGATAAAAAAGATTTTAAGATTAAGAAATGCAACCCTTATAATTAAAATTGGATAAGCCGTTTTTTTTGCAATTTGCAAAAAAACCGTCATTTTTGGCCATTTTTTCGAAATTCAATAACTCTTGTTTTAATGAATATTAAGAGCTGAAAATCACCAATCTTTCTGAAAATTAGTTGGGAGCTATAATGCCTATTTACATTCTTTCTACATTTCAGCTCTTTAAGCGAACCAACAATCCAAATCGAACGCAACCCTCTTTATGTCTATAATCCAATCATTACATATTTCGTGCTAAACAGCTAGGGAATCCCTGATATTTGCTCTATTCGTACACTTACTCCATTCATCGAAAGCCTTCTCCTTCTTCCGTTGCCACCTTGTTTTGAGCGCGTACTTCAACATTTTGTCGGATGCGTCGACGCTCACAACCTCAAAACCCTCCTCAAGCAGCATAGTTGAGTCAACGCCAGTACCGCAAGCAACATCCAAGATGCGTTTGCAGCCATGCTGACGCAACAGACCCACCAGAAAGTCCTTGTAGTTTTGCTTGCGTTGCTTATTATCGACGATATACGCGTTCCAGACTTTTGCAGCTTTGCCGTCAGCGTATTGGTCACGTACACCCTCAGCCGCTGCGCCTAACGAACGCAAAGGAAAAACCACCTGTTGCTGCTGCTGAGTTGTGCTCTCCATTTTAACTCTTTCTATAACATCATTTATGTAATATTTTAGTTGAGATAACGTCAGGATCCTTTTTTCTCTGTAAACAATATCTTCTAGCCAAACGTATTGATTGCATATGATTTAAGGGGGTAGTGTCACAATGTATAGGCAATGCGTGTTCTGAAATACATTACGTGCTCCGAAACAGGCAAGTGAAAATAAATGTGGCAATGCCGCATGAGGCAAGAATCCTCTGTATATCTATAATATAAGTATAGATACGTTCGGAGGTTATATTGTACGTCAACATTGAGTTGGTGGTGCAATCTCCGTTGCAACATCTTCACGGATCTTCAAATACACACTTTTAATTTGTTATAACCAAACAACGGTGAAGCTACGGGTGCTGTTCTTGAAAAATGATGTTTAAAACATACTATTTTACACTATATTTCAATTTCAGCAGTCTGAAATTTTTTTTAATCGCAATCTGTAAAATACTGTTTTTCGTATAAGAGTCCGTGTGAAATAGATGATTTATTTCTCAAAAACGGTGAAGCAAGGGTATCTGAAATTTGAGTATGTTATTATACATATAATTGTTAGCTTAAACAAATTTTTTCAATGTGTTCCTACATTTTTGAATTTTGTGACACTACCCCCTTAAAAATAAATGTGACTCAATTTCAATATTTGCGTAATGATGAATGGAAAATGACGAAGGATAATATTTTATTTTTAGTTTAAAAAATGTATATTTTCATATCTAGACGAACAAATGTTTGTATTGCAAATAGTAATTAGCGATTTTCTTGTAATTCTTATTGTACTAAAATTTTTTGTCTTGATTCCATTTAAATTGCGAGTAGGTTTTATCGTATTCTCGTAGATTTTCGTATGTCCCTAATTTGTTTGATTTTGAAAAGATTTAGTCGAGCTCCTCAATATCCAGTTATTAGTTTGAAATTGCACTTCTTTTCTCTATTAACATTTTGAAACTTAAACCATATTATAACAATCCAAAATTTAAAATAGTAGCAAATAAAAAAAATGGTTTTTAGCAAAGGTTTTTATTTAGTATAAGTTAAAGTCGATACTTTATGAAAAAGTTAAACCATTTTGTACAGGAGTGCTTATATTTCCGTCAGAGCAAAATGTATACTTACTAAATCGTCTATTTTTGGTATAAAACAAATTTTGAACTTAAAGTATGAAGAGATCTGAGGTCATTACATAGTATAGTTTTAGTTTTTGTCTACATGACGTCTTAAAACAGTAAACAGTAACAATCGTTTCGAAAAAACCGGTAATTTGTTTTATAGAATCTAACTTTACTATATTATGTTTGTGGCAAAAATTTTAGATACAAAATTTGTAGATCTTATATGAAAAAATATTTCTTTCCTACCTTGGCGTTTTTGAGGGTTGAGTGTGTCTTTGGAATAAAAAAAACAGTGGTCGGCATATAAGTGCCATCAATCCGGGGCTACCTTATGGTCCTTCGGGTCTGCTTCGCAGGACCCTTGAACCGCAAAGTAGCCCCGTAGGTGATGACACTGTTGTGACGAACACTACTATTTATATTTATCATTTTGGTATATATTGTAGTTTCAACACTTTTAGGTGGATTCGTCGTTTTGTATATCAAGCGAGGGGCCCTCAACATGTATAAATACAATCAAACGAATTTTCTTATTTTTTGTACAATAATTATGTCTCTTAGCCACATCTTGAATTAAAAGAGTTTCAATTGCTTAAAAAACTTCAAATTATTAAACAAAAAGAACGTAAGAGTTTGATATCATGATTTTATTGATATCCTCATCTGCGTATGCGTAGAAAACGACTGGTCACTTTTCTGCTAATTTCCCTAAAATGTTAGTCATAAACATACTTTTTTATGATTCCTATGGAATCAGTGAGAAAAAGCAACAAATATGTCTTTGATTTTAAAAAATTCAGCAGTTCATTTTTTCGTATGAGTAATTCTAATTTTAGTTCCGTAAGATAGCGAGTTATAATAAAATGTTCAAACTCGTTTTTCTTAAAAATGTTTTTCTTTTCTGCTAATTAATCTAACATCATGGAACTACAATGTCACTCATTTTCGTACCTTAAGCTAGCTTGGGTGGTTGGTATACATACGTATAGGGTAGGGTGACAGAGGGGTCCTCATTCAATAAACATTTTTCGACGGTTCATTTTTCAATAAATTATTATAAAAAATACTATTGATAAGATTTAAAAAACAACAAAAAGTTCCAACAAATGATTATGAAAACAATTAGATTTTTTGAGGCACTTGGTATAAAATTACGTACCTAGCAGATGCATACCTACAATTCAAGCAATAAGAAAAATATTAATAATTCATGCTTATCTTCTGATTTTATCTGTATTGAAGTGGTCACCCTGTTGTTAAAAACTCAATTAATTCTTTATAAAAAATACATATTTTCAACTTCTAAAGTTTATCGTGCACTTCCGAAGTTAGTCAATTTTGAGAAGCAACTTTTTAATAGAAAGTGGGTAACCATAGTATTTCTGTATTGCAAATGAATTCGATATACTTTATTTACATGAAGTCTGAATTTCAGAGATTTTTATTATTTCAAAACGCCCAAGTTACTACCTTAAACAATGGTAGTTTTTTGCCACCTGATGGCGCTTATCGCCAGGACAAGCACCAGGCCGAGAGAGTCCTTATACTTGCCTTTGTTGAACGTGCACTAGGTTCAAACTCTATTTTTCCAACTGAGGGCGCAGTAAACGTCTAAAGGTCAAAAATTGCCTTAAGTCGGAAAAATCGTCTTATTGCATTGTAACCTTTTTACATTTTTTTTTGTTTTGCAGTATATATTTAAAATATAAAATACACCAATACGGTCTCAAATAAAATCTTATACTTCCAATTACACTTTTTGCCCTGGGAATCCATAAATTGGTTGTGCAAGTAAGGTAATGCTATCATTTTCCGGGACTTCTCATGTTAAGTATTAACGAGCAAGAACTATCTACAGAAAAATACCATAACTTTCCGTAGTTTGAAGTGAAAATTTTTATCACCATCTAATGAAGCGCAAATTATTCGTAAAAGCTGATTGATAAAAAAAAAAAAAAAAAAAAAATGTTAGTATTGTACCAAAAAAGTAATAAACATTCAAGTACTCATGTGCTATACTGAATATGTGATGTGTGCGAAACTACAAATATGTACAATAATTTTGCACTTATACTGCTAAAACAACAATATGATAAGCAAAACAACTACACTACAACAAATATAGCCTCTACACTACAATAATAATGAAAATTTTTAACAAGTTACCATCAAACATATGTACGTGGTGAGAAACCCAATAATTACTTAAAAAATAATGTACATGTATTCACATATACAATTATTATGAATGCATATAAAATTACAGTTATAAACGCACTCATACAAAAACATATTCACATATGCGTTTAAGGAATCATTCCAGAAAATTACAAATTGAATATTAAAATGTAAAAGCACGTTTTTTTATCATGTTGTATTTCAAATAAAATAATGTCTAGTTGTTAGGCTCACACTCCATCAACTAAACTACACTAGCCAGCATATGGTTAATCATTCTCGTCCAATAAAATGATTGAACTTAATGAATTTCTTTTGTCTTTGTTATCAGTATAATATTATAATAAGAAATTTTCATGTTAAATTTACTACTGTTTGTTATTCGTATGAGTATTTTACTGAAAAATATCATACACATATATTATATAGTTTACATCAACTTATCACTCATTCAAGTCACCTTATGCAAAAAAAAGTATGGCGCTGCTTTCTCCTAAAATTGTTAAAAAAAAAATTTTTTTTTAACCAATGTTTTAAAATAACTGTTTGAATTTTTCCGTCAAACATAAACAAAAGTATTTTAGAACTTTCTAATATTGGAAGTAAATAAAAAGTTTTAAGAATGAATATTTTTTTACTCCGACTCCTACTTATATTACGTCACTAAAGTGACATCGTCGTAAAACATGAACGCACGTGTCTGTTAATTGACCTTAAGGTCAGCGTGGAAGATAAAAAATATTTTAAAATGAATGATTTTAATACGTTCAAAATGAGTGCATCATTTCATCAACTACCAATAAAGGCAAATTGTTCTATTGAACCTTTTCAAACAAAAAATAAATTTCAATATTATTAGGTAAATAAATCTGAAAAAAAAAAATTTCTATAGCAAACATATTACCAAAACACAGTATTACTTAACGTAGCAAATGATTTTTTTGTAAAAAGAAACTTTGTTTATTATCACTACGTATAGTTTTTAAATATTTCTTAATGTTTAACAACAAAAAACAACTAAATTATTATAGATTACTGAAAAAAATTATCCTGTTGGACGCTCAGCTACTCACATATCTTTATAATTTTAGAAACTTTAATTCTTAAATACAGAAATAAAATCCAAGGTAACAAAGATTAATATTTCAAATAACTGATATGAAAAATAGTAAATTTATTAAGAGGTTAGATGTAAACACCACGTGAATGATCTCAAACCCAAAAAAGTAATCATACCTCAATATTTAGTCCCAGAAAACTAGTAGTTAGTCAAATAAACTTTAAAATTTTCAAAGTAACTTCATGACACTGATTTCAACTAAACAGCAAGAAGATGTTAAATCTACTTCGTACGATAGAAAGTAGTACGATAATTATGGCTGGTAACTAGTATACTTTACATACATAGCACTCGATATGAGGCTAGAGACTTGACTGAATGAGTATTAGAACAAAAAATAGAAAATGTACCGAAAGAGACGAAGCATGTGCTCCCCACCCGACGAGAATTTGACTTGACAAAGTAGGTACACATAGTTACAGTTACTTTACTCTCAGTCATTTAAAATGTAGAACCATCTTTTAAGCTTCGTCCCTCGTGACTATTAATCACCATCTGCCCTATTTTTTCTCCGTCGAGTAGAAGATCATCGTAGTTTAAACAGCGTGACAAAGTACTGGTGATCAATACATACTGAAGTTAAATTAAAAAATCACAGAGACGAGTTTTTGCAAACTTACTGAATATATTATCTGTGAATAAAATTAGGAAAATAATTTTGCTTTATAAATAAAAATTAAACTCATAATGCAGAGCTAAGACGTTTATGAAAAATTGTGTTTTGTTTCCAGCTTTCACTATGTTAAAAAATTTGTTCATACCTAAGGAGAAAAAAGCTGACGCATATTTAAGAACGTATTGTTTGAGTGCAGGATTTGATTATTTTTCTTTTCGAAGTACTTTTATAGTAGGGAATCGTAGGATTAAGTCATTTTTATACTTGCTCACTTAGTTCTTGCTGTTACCATCTGAAATTGAGCTTAAATGGATTTTAAAAAAATTCATTCTTCATTGCCATGAGGTGAAGGCAGGAATACTGGGACAGTTTTCGGCAACCATTATTTCGATTGATTTTTTGAGACAGAAAATAAAAATATATATACCCGTTTTTTTTTAACTAAATCTGGAATCTTATATAATAAAAAGCAAAAAAAATGTGTGCTTATTAGTTTTTATAATTAGGATAAAAAACATTTTCTACATTGCGTCAGGGAGCAGTAGTGGGGCACATTAATTTTAGCATGAACCTATACTGAGACATGAAGGTACCAATAGTGGGACAAATAACAATTTAGATAAATTATGAGAATATGAAACGATTAAACTATTCTAAAAAGTAGTTGGTTTATACATATTTATTTAAATGAACTCAAAGCATACGAAATTGCGAAGAAATAATTATAAAAAATTATCTTTTTTTCTTCTTTAATTTTTCTTTGTTGAATTAAGGCCTGCATCGCTTCCAAAATCCTCCGTTATTTACCTTCTCCTTTCTTCTCATATGCCCTTTTGTCTTCTAAGGGAGTTGTCCTCACAGACCTGTTCCATGCGGGGCGGTTAGCTTTTAGTCAGTAGGCACACCGGGTAAATCTGGGTAAAAAAGAACTCCCTCTAACTCCCTTTCTTTTCTAGGATGTAAAGCCTTCAGGTTTGTCCACCATTCTCCTCGGGAAAACAAAATAAATAGAAAAATAAATTAAAGGAAATACAAAAGAACGAAAAAAAAAAGTAATAAAATCAAATATAAAAAAAAAATGAAATAAGTGAATAAAATAGAAAGGGAATTAAAACAACAAACCAGGGGGGTTAAATGGATAATGGGACCTACGGTTAGAACGAAGTTCTTTAAACATGACATGAGTATAAAAACACAATTTCTCAGGTAACAAGGGGGTCACCAAACCCGTAGAAAGAACGAAGCTCTATAAACGTTAGTACTGCATTCATGTAGTTCACTAAACAAAAACTTGAAAGATAAATAAAAAAAAATTTTTTTAAATAGTTCAGTACTCACGATGGTTTAACTTCGTGAGTACTGTNTATCTTTTTTTTTGGGAGTCATTTTTTACATCTAATGAGCAATTTCTGTAAATAATTAACAATAAGTATTTTAAACATTTTCACCCATATTTATTTCTACATATTAATATTGCCATAGCAATTTTGAGGTTATGTTTTCATTTACTGTTGTTTATTTAATACTCAGGAACGATACGGCTACAACCTTACTATAATTCCACGTCAAACACACTTTTATGTATAAAAAACGTCATTTGGACAAAGACACATGCAGTAAACAGTTATCATCATGATTAACATTCCACGCCAACTAAATACGTCCCACTTAATCTTCTACTCGAGCAAGTAGGCGGTAAACTGGGACGCGTTCTGTTTTTCTTGTCCCAGTATTGGGTACTATATTCAAACATGGGAGGTTAATTGGGACACCCTTTTTTTGTTATAAATAATTATTATTTACAATTTTGTAGAAGAGGTATTGTATAGTAAAAAAAATATGGACAACTTATTTTAATTCAATTTTTTTATACTTTAATCCAGTTTCTCGCGTTCACTTCTAATGGATGAAAATTGACCGTACAGCAGGCTGCCCTTATGGAAATTTCGACATGATTTTTAAAAAAAATTATTTATTTTATGAGAATAAATATTTGCATGTATTCTTATAACGAATAAGCTTCAGAATGTAATCATATTTTTTTGTTTCCAATTTATTTTAATCTAGGTACCATAATCAATAATGTTGGTCTGTTCCAGTATAGGGTCCGGATATCGATCTGTCCCAGTATACCTGCCTTCACCTACCGTGTGTTTCAGTAGCGCTCTCCGACAACTTACCGACAACTTACACATGATGCAAGATATCATAAGACATAATTAAGTTGTCAGTAAGTTGTCGGAGAGCGTTACTGGAACAAACCTCTGATGTATTAATCACACATTCAAATTCAAGAGTTTAATTGGCCCAAAAAGTTATAAAATATCGATAAAAAAACAATAGAAACTTACCATTCCAATCTGCGCGAGCGTAGAAGACAATAAACCACTTTTCTCTTAATTTTCTTAAAATCTTTTTCAATATTTTACTCCAGACGTATTTTCAAGAAAAACATTCAATTCTACAATTTAACATAAGCTGTCACGGGGGTCAGTAATTAAATTGTAAAAAAAAATTAAAACTTTTTTTAAAATTTCTCCTAGTTAAAAATACGTTAATCAAAAATAAGCTGTCTTTTAAAAAAAAAGAACAAATGGATTAAAATCATACGAAAAATCTTCAAAAAAGTTACATTTAATAAAATTTAATTAAGAGCCTATGTTAAATTGTGGAATTAAATGATTACTTTTTTTCGAAAATACATCTTGGACGTAACATTAGCAGTTTTAAAAAGTCCATGTTAATATTCTAATAATCTGAGAGTGTAAAAAAAATGGTGATTGTAAAAAATGTAAAAAAAATTTACTTCTTAAAAAATTTTTAAATTACTCTTTAAAAAATATATATTTTGATTGTGTAGTCGGGAGGGAAGCGTTCCAGTTTTTAACATCACAGATCTGGTTACCCTATAGTCTATAGTGATAATTTGAAACACTAGGTGCTAAACGCAAGGGAGTTAGCAGAAGAAACGAGTTAACGCTGATTCATAGCAATTTTCATTTCATGCACGAAATTAAAAAATTTATATTAATACTCCTTTGCTATTTCACACGTTTATAGCTTTATATTTACTGATCGTTTCCTGAAAAATTATTCACCAACCATAGCTAATAAGTACTTGTAAACAATAAAACATACAAATTTGAAACAATTTATTATGTTCCTCGTATGTATTTTATAAACTTATTATTGTAAGTTGATGTAAATTTTTTTAACTGGTACTATTGTCACATAATTTATTTAAAATATTTTATAATAAAAAATTTTCATTCAGAACTGGCATACCAATATTGTGTTATTTGAAATAGGAACAAACGTATATGTGGGGTAAAAAAATGACACAAATATCCGTGAAGTCTACTAAGTTGAATACTACTTTAATGGAAATATTAAAATATAGTATACTGTCAGTCAACTACAGTACATCTCAAGATTTCTCAATTAAATTATGTCTTTTATGTTGATTTTTTATTCTTTTAAGGATTTAGTAATTACTGATTTTTATAGTCTACCATACGCTTCATCCTATCATAAATTCAGTTCATTACTTGCAGTAACGTTAAACATATTGTTATATCATATTACTGTAAGTAATTTGGCCTCAACTCTGTACACGATTTAAACAATTTTACGTAACAAGTTTTAAGTAAATTTTGAAGAAAATTATGTATTACGTAACTAAGGGAAAAAGTGCTACTATCAATGGTGCTAATGTTACTGTTAGTAGATTGTTTCCTAAACTAATGGCGAAAGTTTTTACGTTAAAGAAAAGTATTATGATACTATAAAAATGAGTTAATTGTAATGATAAGGATGCACCCCGTTTTTTAAAATACCTGCAAAGTTATTCAGATGATCAGAAATTCGATACGTGAGGAACAGCTGTTTCAATGTTGCACGAGAAACTGACAAGGCAATAACGAAATCACGCTATTTTGTTCTGACTTATTATCAGCGCCGCGTTGTGCGAACACTATAGATATAAAAAGTAGGTCTTTGTGAGGCGTGCACTTCTTACTAATGGTTAATACTATCTCTTGGAGTGCCTTGTTATTCAAGAGCTTGTGATATTAATACAGATAACGAACTCTCGATCGAATTTAGAGTTCTGAGAGATCAATTTTCAAATTTTAATACAATTTTAACCAACGTACATTTTTATATTATGTACTTTAATTTCTTGAGTTAAAACATATCCATATCTGTCTTCTATTGACAGTAGAATGTTAGTCTCTAAAATAAAAGATAAATTATGTAGTCCATTGCCTGAAAACAAAAAAAAAAAACGATTTAATCTTATATTTTCCAGTAGAGAAAAAATTGGTCATTTCCCTACAGAATTTCCCCATGAATATGGGAAAATAGTTTTGTCCAAATCAAAAGTTGGCTTTATTTATTTATTAATAACAATTCATGAAAAAATGCCAATTTTTTATTTAGTTTTTGCTTATATCTCAGCTTCTATTGCTCATAAAAAATTTTTCGACCATTAATCTCTTTGTCATCAAATTTTCTATAAAACTGATATTTTTGCAAATCCGATATTAATTTTTAATAATACGTACAGGGCAAAACAGTGCATAAAAAAATTGTTTATACCGAAAAACTTTAGATTGACGTAAAAAAGAGCTATCATGTTAATTTGAAAATAACCGTGAAAAAATATAAATATTAAGTTG